GCCGGGCGGCCCTGCATGTGGAGGGAGCGCGGGGGGGCCCTGCGGGTGGAGGGAGCGCGGGTGGCCCCGAGTGAGGAGGGAGCGCGGGGCAGCCCTGCGTGCGGAGCGTGGCGCAGAGTTGCCTTTGCAGGCACCTTGGCACCTGGCGGCGTGCGGGGAAGTGCAACAACTTGGGGGGGATTCGCTTAGGAACATCCTCCCCGGCCTCCTTCCTCAGCCGTCGTGGCCATGATGAGCTGTCAGAGGAATGGCGTGAGGAGGGGAACAGTCTAACAACCTGGAAAATCACCTCATCTAACCAAAGGAATGGACTCGCTTTGAACCGTATGGCATAGAGAAATGTGACCGACGTTTCCGTCAGTTTGCGCGAGGCGATTGTAAATAAATGCCATGGTCCTTTAGAGCTTTCTCCATAGGTCTTGGTTGGGAAGGGACCATGGATTTGATCTCCTTGGAGCTAGCAGTCAAAGAGGAGACTCTGTTATGAGCAAGCAGTGAGCCTGATGGTATCAAATCAAGGCCCATGGACCTTCAGCATCCCACTATTAAGGTTCAAAAATCAGGAGCAAAATGTGCATGCCTGGAGCAGCAAATGCAGAAGAAAAAATAAGTATTTTATAGTCTTTTCTGGGCTCAGAAAGTGGTTAGTGAAGTGCTGCTTCTATCCAGTCCGAGGTGTATCTTCAAGTCCGGTGGTTAATGCAGGGGAGAGGCTCTGTAGCCAGGGACCAGTGAGACGTGATGTGGTCCTTGGTCCCAGCCTGGTGGCCAAGTCCTCTCCTGCAGCACAGTGACTGCAGGTGGCCTGGAGGAGCCTCGTGTCTCTGCATACGGCCTGAAACACTTCATCTTCATCACGTTGCTCTGTTACTTTATTGGGAGACTGCAAGCTTAGCCAAGGATCACGTTGCTCTGTTACTTTATTGGGAGCCAAGGGGAAACCTTGGTAGCAATTCAGAGTGAGAGAGAGAGAATGGTTGGGCTGCCTGGAGATGGAGAGCCCAGACAGTAGTTCGTGATGTATGTTGAGACTAAGGAACTTTTAACACGAGTTGGAGAGCACCCAGCGAAGGCTGTCAAGGCTTGGCAGCTGTAGTTGAGATGATGATTTGCCAGCTGTAATTTGGGGGTAGTTTATTAGGCAGAGCAGAATGGGAATAATGTTCACGTATCAGTAACTCCTGTAACCTTGTTCTAATTCCTGAGCTCTGCTGCAGTGCAGCTGAGCAGTTCTGGTGCTGGGGGTGTAATTCAGATGCAAAATCCATAATATAACAGGGTGCCCAACACCTAGGCAATAACTACTTTCTCTTGCCCCTCACCTGGGCTCCAATCTAGGCTGAAGAAGAGGGAATCTGTGGTTTATACAGATATTTCTAATGCTTAGTCCCTTCTGGTTGCCCATGAGAAGAGACCACAAGACAGGTGTCGTGTAAGATCCCATACTATGAGGGCTGGACCTCAGCATAATCCTTTCATATGCATGTTTGCATAAACTCTTCCAGATCAGCAAGAGCCAAAGGTTGAAGGAATCTGGAAAGTATAAACCCTCCAGAACCAAAGAGATTCCTGGCTTTATTGCTTCTCCCTGGGCTTGGTGATTTGCTTTCACACTGTAAGACCTCCAGCCCCTGCAGGGTTGGAGGGAGGGGGTGGGTTCTTGTTTTGTTTTGCTTTACTACTGCAGTGTTGATAACGTCTGTGGGGGCCCCAGCAGCCGCCGTTTTGTGTTTCGCTCTCGAGCACCAGGCAGCACGGCAGCAGTGCTGC